CTCTCATATAGGTCTAGCTGATTTTTTTTGTTTTTTTTTTCAGGAAAATTCTTAAAAGTCTCTAATAACTGCAGATGTGCATTCATACTTATAGATGCATTTTTGAATGCACTTAGGTATATAAGCACTTTTTGAGTTCAATTGAAATTCATCTGCTGAAAATGGCGTAAATAGCACTCTCCAAATACGAACGTGGAAATGGCGCGAACGATTTCTAGTTTCGAAACTGGAATTTAATTTTTTGATTCCAGTGGAATGAAAACTTTACCTATTGATCCAGTTTTCTCTAAATGGGTTAATGTTATCAAAAAAGCGCTAGTCATAAATTTTTCTTGCGTTCATTACTCATGTATTGGCTATGTTTTATATGATCCAGGTCTTTCAAAATGGCTTAATTCTATCAAAAAGAGTCAATTATAAAATTTTGATAAAACTCACAAAGCCGTAAAGCCATATATATATTTTTTGAAATGATAAAGCTGAAGTTAATACAAAAAATCAGGACAGTTTTTATTTTGTGTTTCCTTGTGTTCATTGACTCTTTTTCTAACTAACTGTTGGCTATGTCTCCGTCTTTCGTGATGGAAAATTTGAGCACGGGTTGGTTTTGCTCTCTAGCCAAATTTTGACTGTTTAATTTGTTATTTTGACATATTTTTTTGTTTTCAAAAAATATTTTTATTTTCAGCCCAAATTTAAAAAGCTATTTTACCTGTGATTTTTTTTTCGCAAAGTTATGAAGGTTTGAAAAATTGCCAATTTTAACAGTTTAGGATATTTATCTCGCGATATATTTCATTCTAGTAACGCATAAGCTGCTTTTTAATCAGGCCCAAAAATTTCAATATATCACATAGTACTAGCGTGTGGGGGTTGAATTAAAAAAAGATTTTTTGAAGTTTTTTGTTGAAATCGATTTTTACTCCAAAGCTAGTTGGAACCTTCAAGGCCCTGATAATACGGAAAGTCGTGTTGTTCCGACCATTAAAATGGGGAGAAATTTTGTATCCGGGTTTGTTTTGAATTTTGTTCTGTTTTTTGGTTTCTACGCAAAGTCAGCCAGCTACCACAAATAGTCATCGGAAAAGGTTGAGTGGTATACTATATTAAAACCCTTTCTTTCGTAATTCGAACGACATTCAAAAGATTCTCTCTATGTCGAGAAAAACTGCTCTAAAATTTTTTGATTTTTAGTTCAATTTCGAGCGAAACACAATCGGGTTACGTTCGTTATATGCAAATTAACTAAATTTTTATATACTTATAGGCTCTCAAAACATGATTTTACTTTCAAGAAAACTAATTTTGGATACTTATTTCAGCGTTTATTTGACAATAAATATTTTCAAAAAAAAACTATTGCACAAACAAAAAAGATTTTTTTAAAAAGTTTTGTTTGGTTTTCATTTTTGAAAACAAATTTTGTCGATCATGCCTAAATGACTAAGTCTCTATGCGATCGTATAGTTTTCAAATCACGCCATCCACTAAAAATTACATTAATATGAAGACATTTTAAAAAAATCTATTTTTTTCATAATGTTCGGATCATTCTGTGCTACTTGCACAGCAAACGGCTATCTTTTTTCATTTTGGAATGATTTGGAGTATATACTAGTTCGCCGCGCGTAATTTTTGCGCGTAATTTTTTGCGCGTAGTTGCTCAGTGGAGAGAGGTAATTTCATAAAAGCGCACCTAAAGTCGTTCAGTGTTTTCGCGTAGTTTTAATGAAGGTACTGTTTATGCGTTTTAGCATTTGACAATTTGAGAAATGTATTTATCATAAATTTTAAAATCACGATAAATCCGTGTTTTCAAAATGAACAATTTGCTATTAATGAAAATCCACTCTAAAATTTATTTGTTTTTGATTCGCAGTTCTTTGAACATGAAATAGTTCAATGCGTGATTAGCAAACAATAATTTCCACAAAGTTTCCTTATTTCAAGCTATGTTGCCGTAAGAATGGATGAGAAAAAATATCGCCTAATTTAACTAATTTTTCTCATACTTGTTTTACAAGCAAAGCTTGTGTTATAGTATGAACTCTCTGTTTTCTTTAACCTAAGTCGCAAATAATGTTGTGACGCAAATATTGTTGCGACTAAATGTATTCATTTTGAAAGTTTTCATTTTGATCAATAACCAGCTATTAAGTACAGGCAATGCTAAGGATATTAACGCAGACTTTTGTGTCAAAAATAGCATTTTAGCTTCAATGTATCATGGATCTGTAGCGTGGAGGTAGGAAAGAAGACCCGCAACAAAATAAGAGGGTTGGAACCTGGGCAGGATCGGATGTTTTTAATGAACTTTTTCGTATGCTAGTTAAAATGCGTCCGCTCTATAAACTGAGGCATGTTAGTTGGCAAACTCCTTTTTCTAGCTGACTGTTCTGCTAATGTGCCATAATTTGCTTGCGTCACTTAGCAATTATGTAGACTCATAATTAGCGTGCTTCACTTAAGAAATTTTTTAGACTCAAAGTTTTACTCATTCAGTTGTTCCCAGTAGCGTTATCGGTCATATTTTTGCTTGTGTTTGCGATTTGCAACATCGCCTCTGTGTTTAAATCATAACAAGACTGCTGGTATATCAGGGCGATTTTGTTTGAAACATCTATAAAAACTAAGGAAATTTAAAGTACGAAAAGATGCACTTAGCGTCTCATAAGCTATTGATATGACCAAATTTTTTTTGCTTAATTTCAATTGGGAACATTTTAATCTGCAGCTTGTGCGTGTTACATAACGCAAATCGCGCGTTACTTATCCAAAATAGCAATTTATAAACCGTCATCATTTTATGAAAAATGATCATAGTTGCAAACAACAATTTCTTTCAGATGGTACAAAAAATTTTCCTTCAAAATTGCGTAATTAAAAAGTCGAAAATTTGCTGAATAAAAAAACCGGTCCCAGCATAAACTCCGTTTTCTTCGAAAGTCCGAAAAAAGTTCTAGCTAATCTAGAAAGGCAACGAATCGTAATTTCTGCTGGTTAGTAAGATCGCTATAAAAATTGCTATTTCAAGAAGTCGAAAAATAACTGAAAGAAAAGCCAAACAAAGCATTAACATTTCACACTGTTTTTAAAAGTCGAAACAATAAATTGAGATGGACAAAATCTGAAAAATGCATTTAAGTTGTTTCAGGATTTCGTCCGTTTTGGAATTTTTTTAAACCACTGGAACATAACAAAAAATAGATCGCAGGTAAAAAAATCCAAATAAATTTGAACTCAGAGAGTTGTTATCTTCTTTGGACGTGAGATTTTTCCGCTTAAAGTTGTTATGGCGATCGCCGAAACTGGTCTGAATAAAAAATACATCAAGCATCAAAGTCACTTTACTTTCTCCGCAAGTCGGATCAAAAACGATTTTTGTATTGACATCAAGAAGAATTATATATCCATTCAATTCTATATAAAACAATAAGAAGAATACAAATAACTGATTAATAATAAACTACTTGAAATGATCAGCCTGGAAAACAAGATTCAGATTGTTTTGTAGATTCTGGAGTATTCAGATTGTTTTGTTTTTCGGCATGGCGAAAACTTTTTTGATTTGTTTTTTTTTCTGTTCCGAGTCAAAACTGAAATGCCCAATAAGTGCAAAAAAACAGGTTCAAATGCGGTATAGTGTTTGCAACCTTATCATGCATTTCTGATTTGGAAATTTTATCTTTTGAAATTAATGGTTTCTTTTTCTGTTCTTAAATTAGATCGTATTGAAGACCCAAAATGCTTCAGCGTAATTGCGTCTTCAACGTTCATCTTAAGCACTTGTTATCTTACTGCAATTACACGAGTTAAATGCTGTCAATTCATCCAATGCAATGAAAATTCATTGTGTTTATGTTACTTATTCGCTGAGAATTGTCTACTATTTTAGAAATCGGGAAAAAACCTCTTTCGGCATAGAAATAATTTATGGGTGTTTTCCATCATATCTCATTCAGTGAATTAGTAGGCCTCCCGTGATATAATAATCGCAGTGGTTGGGGGATTGAATGTAATTTTTAGAAGACTGGTTGGAAGGGGGTGCAATCTTGAAATGAAAGTTTCAAGCTTTTTCTTTCTAATTTTTACTCAATCAGTTTCTGAGAAGCATGAAAAATCTCATCTTACTCTGATTTATTCAAAATCTTTTAGTCATTCGCAAACAAAATTGTAATTAATCGTGAAGTAAAATTACTCAGATCATGAGTGTGTTCGAATCTCACTTCGGTCACGGTTGGAGGGGTCTCAGTGTCTTACGCCTCCTCAAGGTGGGACGGCTATAGTGGAATGGGTGACATCTCTTTCTCCCATGGTTGGTCCTGCATTGAGTAGGACCGGGGTTAAAAATAGACACAACTGAAATAATTATGACATAATATGGTTTGCTGATCTGTTAAATAGCGGAAAATTTGATTTTCTATGCGGTAAAACTGATTAAAAACTCTAAAAGTGCATGAGTTCTATTGCATATTA